TATATGATGACGTTTTGCCTCATATTGCAATTCTTGAAGAAAATCCTCAAAATCCTCAGACTGTTTCTGTTTCCTATTATAAAGCTTGTCTAGTCTTTCATATCTTTTTGCTGAACTTAGTTCCTTGCAAGGAAAGCTGTCTTCACCTCATTCCAGGACTTTTCACTGAAGTCTTGAGCTTCATGCCACTTCAAAGCATTTTTGTCTAACCATAAACTAAATGCTGTCTTTGTCCATTCTTCTGAATAATTATGTAAAGAATTAAATTTCTAATATCTGCTTAACCATGAACTTGCAATTTCTGGATCACTTCCATTGAATTTCTCAAGAGAAAACTGACTTAGGGAAAAAGCCCTTGCTAAAGCTGCAAAACTGTTGTCTAATTTGTCCTTATTTCCAAGTCCTCTTGAAAATAAACTGTCATTTGTCTCTGTAATATCAGAGGCAGAACAAGTTTCATTGTCATGAAACATTTTGAGTCACTTTGGTTCTTCTCTGACAATATGTCCAAATTCAACATCATAATTTCAAGACTTCTCGTGCTCATTGTTGGTGATGAGAGATAATAACAGTCTTATAATACTGCAGAAAGTTCCTATGCACACAAGCGTGCAGCTAGGGTCCTCCATCAGTGTGACTGTCCCACACTAGAAAATCAATATCACTGTTATGGTAGTAGCCGTACTACCAAAGAAATCAATAACACAGTCTCTTCATGGGAAACTGACCACCCCACGGCTTTCAGACAGTGAACCATAGTCCCGCTGGTGAGCATAGTTCACCAATACAAGGGCAAAACACATCCCTCACAATCAATTCACGCTTTACAGGACATCACCTACCGTGAGTGGAAAATAGCATCGGCTCGTGTCAGGCAAACAACCATCAAATGTACATCAACTCAGCTGCAGGTGCAAACCGTTCAAACTTGCGATGAGCATGGTACGGTGATCTTAGAGCATTTCCACCATATGTAACCTTAGGTTCCGGGTACTTTACCCTTCTACCTTTGGTCACTTGTTCTTAATAACCACTCCTTGGTTATAGGGATGATGTAGCTCTCTCTCAAAATCACAAGTCCGATGGTTTGCTCAAGTCCTTTTTATTTATGATAGAATTAATCATAAATATACACACATGGTCCTCAGATATGTTCTTGTTGTTGCCTGATATAAATACAACACATACCTAGATGATGCTTTGAAAGGCCTGGTGGTTTTTCTGATGAACGTTTAACTCTATTTCATTTCTGACTCGGGATCCCAAAACCACAGTGAACCTTTCTGTTCAGCTGTATGCTCCCGACTCCCCGCACCACTCTCGGACAACTAACAAAATACTATCGATGATAATTTTAGCTCCTCCATCCAAAATCACATTTGACATCATGAGAAATGAGTCATAATGGTCATTCCCCAATTTCCATAGTAATTAGTTTTACCATCAAGCTTTTCGGACTAACCAATTTGATTACCTCTTTAAGTCATTGGTCAACTTGGACATACTCATCTTATCAAATTCCCTCAACTACTTCTGCCAGACTGGAAGGCGCCGAAAAGATACTTAATCCTGTTATTTAGACATTCCAGTCAAGCAGTAGTATTCATAAATATTTGATCACCACTAATCTAACAATTTTGTTCCATCCATCTATCTCTCTTCTGACATTTTTATTGCAAGACCGTATTCTACTAATCTCACACTAATGACTAATAAAAGAAAAATCCATAATCATTTGCCCTGGGGGTTATGCCCTCACCCTATACGGTCACTTCTCTCATATGCATCCATATTTTTACCCAAAAGCTTAATTTAGTAAACTATATTTTAAGTAAATATTAAAAAAAACTTTTTCCAAAATACCCTGGTTATTGTATGCACTGCTACATGGTGGGAGGAGGGTTTATGTGTTTAAGCGCTGATACATGGTGGGATGAGAATGTATGTATGCAAGCACTGATACATAGTGGGAGGAGGGTGTACGTATGTATGCACTGATACATGGTGGAAGGAGGGTGTATGTATGTATGTATGCAAGCACTGATACATATTGGGAGGAGGGTGTATGTATGTAAGCACTGATACATGGTGAGAGGAGGGTGTATGTATGTAAGCACTGCTACATGGTGGGAGGAGGGTGTATGTATGTATGAACTGATACATGGTGGGAGGAGAATGTATGTATGCAAGCACTGATACATGGTGGAAGGAGCGTGTATGTATGTAAGCACTGATACATGGTGGGAGGAGGGTGTATGTATGTATGTATGTATGTATGTATGTATGTATGTATGTATGTATGTATGTATGTATGTATGTATGTATGTATGTATGTATGTATGTATGTATGTATGTATGTATGTATGTATGTATGTATGTATGTATGTATGTATGTATGTATGCAAGCACTGATACATGGTGGGAGGAGGGTGTATGTATGTATGCACTGATACATAGTGGGAGGAGGGTGTATGTATGTATGCAATGATACATGGTGGGAGGAGAATGTATGTATGCACTGATACATGGTGGGAGGAGGGTGTATGTATGTATGTATGTATGCAAGCACTGATACATGGTGGGAGGAGGGTGTATGTATGTATGCACTGATACATGGTGGGAGGAGGGTGTATGTATGTATGTATGCAAGCACTGATACATGGTGGGAGGAGGGTGTATGTATGCACTGATACATGGTGGGAGGAGGGTGTATGTATGTATGTATGCAAGCACTGATACATGGTGGGAGGAGGGTGTATGTATGTATGCACTGATACATGATGGGAGGAGAATGTATGTATGCAAGCACTGATACATAGTGGGAGGAGGGTGTATGTATGTATGCAATGATACATGGTGGGAGGAGGGTGTATGTATGTATGCACTGATACATGGTGGGAGGAGGATGTATGTATGTATGTATGTATGTATGTATGTATGCAAGCACTGATACACGGTGGGAGGTGGGTGTATGTATGTATGCACTAATACATGGTGGGAGGAGGGTGTATGTATGAATGCACTGATACATGGTGGGAGGAGGGTGTATGTATGTATGCACTGATACATGGTGGGGGAGGGTGTACGTATGTAAGCACTGATACATGGTGGGAGGAGGGTGTATGTATGTATGAACTGATACATGGTGGGAGGAGGGTGTATGTATGCAAGCACTGATACATGGTGGGAGGAGGATGTATGTATGTAAGCACTGATACATGGTGGGAGGAGGGTGTATGTATGCAAGCACTGATACATGGCAGGAGGAGAATGTATGTATGTAAGCACTGATACATGGTGGGAGGAAGGTGTATGTATGCAAGCACTGATACATGGCAGGAGGAGAATGTATGTATGTAAGCACTGATACATGGTGGGAGGAGGGTGTATGTATGTAAGCGCTGATACATGGTGGGAGGAGAATGTATGTATTTACGCGCTGATACATGGCAGGAGGAGAATGTATGTATGCAAGCACTGATACTTGGCAGGAGGAGAACGTATGTATGCAAGCACTGATACATGGCAGGAGGAGAATGTATGTATGTAAGCGCTGATACATGGTGGGAGGAGGGTGTATGTATGTAAGCACTGATACATGGCAGGAGGAGAATGTATGTATGTAAGCACTGATACATGGTGGGAGGAGGGTGTATGTATGCAAGCACTGATACATGGCAGGAGGAGAATGTATGTATGTAAGCGCTGATACATGGTGGGAGGAGGGTGTATGTATGTAAGCGCTGATACATGGTGGGAGGAGGGTGTATGTATGTAAGCACTGATACATGGCAGGAGGAGAATGTATGTATGCAAGCACTGATACATGGTGGGAGGAGGGTGTATGTATGCAAGCACTGATACATGGTGGGAGGAAGGTGTATGTATGTAAGCACTGATACATGGTGGGAGGAGGGTGTATGTATGTAAGCACTGATACATGGCAGGAGGAGAATGTATGTATGTAAGCGCTGATACATGGTGGGAGGAGGGTGTATGTATGTAAGCACTGATACATGGCAGGAGGAGAATGTATGTATGTAAGCGCTGATACATGGTGGGAGGAGGGTGTATGTATGTAAGCACTGATACATGGCAGGAGGAGGGTGTATGTATGTAAGCACTGATACATGGCAGGAGGAGAATGTATGTATGTAAGCACTGATACATGGTGGGAGGAGCGTGTATGTATGTATGCACTGATACATGGCAGGAGGAGAATGTATGTATGTAAGCACTGATACATGGCAGGAGGAGAATGTATGTATGTAAGCACTGATACATGGCAGGAGGAGGGTGTATGTATGTATGCACTGATACATGGCAGGAGGAGAATGTATGTATGTAAGCACTGATACATGGCAGGAGGAGAATGTATGTATGTAAGCACTGATACATGGCAGGAGGAGAATGTATGTATCTAAGCACTGATACATGGCAGGAGGAGGGTGTATGTATGTAAGCACTGATACATGGCAGGAGGAGAATGTATGTATGTAAGCACTGATACATGGTGGGAGGAGCGTGTATGTATGTATGCACTGATACATGGTGGGAGGAGCGTGTATGTATGTAAGCACTGATACATGGTGGGAGGGGGGTGTATGTATGTATGCACTGATACAGGATAGGGCTGACGTTGATATAGTGTGATGAATATGGGGGTATGATGTGCGCGCGCAAATGGAGATAGGGTTGGCGTATATATCGTGAGATGGTTGTGTAAGTATGCGAGGTGGATTGCGATATAGTTATGCGGGTATGATTATGGAAACATAAGAGGACATCCGGACTTGAGGTTGAGTGATTGGATGTGCATGTATTGATGTGGGTTTGTTTTCATTTTAAATAATGGTGTTTTATACTTTAGTGTTTTAAACTTCATAATGGCCGGGCTTCGTACATACCAACCCGTTATACCCGCAATATGCTGGCAGACTCATGGGTTAAGCAATATTTACAAAAAGAAATCATATTTGTATGGTTTAAACCAAATTTATTTAAAAAGGAAATGGGATCGGTCAACAGACATACACTTGTAAAAGATCTCTCCCGTACGAAATAACAATAAGAAATGTAACATTTTACAGAATGTTCCGTGAGGGTAATATTAAATAACATTGATATCACCTTGTAGATAAGTATTTCCAAACAACACGGTCTTGATAGCGTCTTGATGAAAATGACCACTGGGATGTTTATCTAATATCACAATAACTCAAACTTTAACATTGAAAACTGTCTTCGTTAAGATAGCCACTGGATCATCATGAATAAATCTGTAAGACATATGTTCGTTTAAATCGCTTTTATCGGAAGGGCTTTTTTTATTTTTCAGTGCCGCAAAGAGGATTCTGGAGTATGTTGTATAATCCAGTATCGTATGTGGATCATCGTCTTTATACTGGGTCGGTAATACATTCACTAGTCAGGAGGTTCTCTAATTAATTGTATTCATATTATTAAAATTTATTATCAAAATGAATCAACTAAATCATCATTTTTAAAGTCTTAAATATTCTAGAATATGTCCCTAACTTACGTTTAGCATCCGACATGTTCAGATCAGATAGTTATAATTCACCCAATATGCTGCTGATAAGACAATAACATTTGAATGCACCCCGGATTTAATAGGAGCTTATGTTAACGTTGTATAGAGGTCTGACGTAAATTGACTATCGCCTGTCTGTAAAGTGTGACCCTCATGTCGCCCTTATGTAATTGAAAAATCAAGGTAGGTTTTAAGATAAACATGTAAAACAGCATAAATAATATTTCTGATATTACATTTGTTCGTCTTTGAGAATGTTGTCATTGTCTTACTTAAACCAATCGAGTGACTTCGGTTTTCATTTCGTTTAACAGTGAGGCATAAATACACCCCTAACGTACTTTGCTTCGTCTCGATAAACAAATCAAAGCAAAGCTTGTGTAATCGGCAACGATGTAGCCTCCCTTACAGACGGGCTAGAAGCTTTGATGACAATACCCTAATTACTTCATGAAATACATGACGATGAATGAGCGGCGACAGTCGGTTCACATGTGTTCATTTGTTGTCAATGCGTACGCTTATAGCACTTTCGTGTTTAAAGAACCTACCATTTGGGACCTGTTCAAAATACATGTAACATAGGGTTTTATGCTCTATAAGGCAGTTACATTTATTCAAAATTTCTCAATCAAGAAAAATAATAATTCATAATAGCACCCAAGGGAATGACAAACAATATTATTTGTGATTATATAGAATATGACACTACAAATGTACATATGTTGTTGTTTCTAAATAAGCACATTTACAAGCAAACATAATTTGACACAGTGTCATGATATTGCTGAATGGTTGTCTGGCCACCCTTAGCAGGCGTTGGGTGGTCTGCAGGGAGTTATCCGGCACCCCATTTCCTTTTTAGGTGTCAGGCGACCTCCTGCATACAGCTGCATGACCAGGGTTTCTGTTGCATTTTGATCTGTCTATAAATATTTGTCTGGCTTGGGCTCCGCTTACTATTATTAGAATGCCAGCCTTCGACGTGGTTGGTTGTTTGGGATCCTGTGGGGTCCTGAGCTCCCCATCGCGTCACTCACTTACCTGTGAGACTTATAATCCTCTATTGTTTTACCAATCAACACGCTTAATTGGTTATCTTTTTACAAAAACGCTTTTCGCAATGGAGGGATTTGGTTTTCTTTTGACATTGTTTCTGGTAAATATTCCCTCGACAGAGAAGATATTGGCGATACTGGTCCCATGCATCGTTTGATATTTTTAAACGATTCAATTGATTAATTTGAGCTCGAATGTTTTGAGTTCAGGAAAGTAAGAAAGGGTCTGCATACTTGTGAGTGTGTTATCAGATAAATCCAATTGTCTTGTTATATCATAAGAACACCATAAGCTATAAATTGGCGTGAAAGCTGCGGCATAGTGCTGCGATAGTGCCGTGAAAGTGTCGCGAAAGTGTCTCGAAAGGGGCCCAATAGTTTTGCGTTTATGTCTCAAAAGTGGCACGATAACTCGGCGTTAGTGCTGCAAAAGTGGCGAGAAAATTTCGCAAAAATAGGGGAAGTTACTTATGAAATGTAGTGTACCTCTACCATTGTTTTTGTAAGGAGATCTTACTAAGCGGTTTACCTTTCTCCCTTTTATAGTTGAAAATCACATCTTCTGATAAATGACATTATGTCAGATTTGACATATGACAGGACAAACCGATTTGCGTTTCCATCCTCCTGAAACTTTCACTGCACAGTGTGGATTGTTAGTAATTTCCTTGTTGTGATAGTCACTGACAACTGTACGATCCCGCTCTCATCGTGGGTAAGCCCTGAAATTTGAGTTGCAAGCAATTAACATTTAATTCTGCTTTTGTTCTCGTCTTTGGTTGCACAATTTCATTTCCTATCTAGGAATCGCTTTTCGTCCCGTTACGTCCAATTTCTTCTGCCAGGTGTACAGGAGTAGCAGCCCTAACTTCTTGTGTTGACACATCGGCACCATGGTCAAGGAGTAGTGTCACTGGCTCACAACTTCTACTCTTTGCTGCCAGGTGTAGAGGGGTATCATCTTATTTATCTTGTGTATGTACATCAGCCATCTTGTCTAGGAGAAGTTTCACTGTCTCACTACTTCCACTCTCTGCTGCCAGGTGTAGAGGAGTATCACCATATTTATCTTGTATAGATACATCAGCCATCTTGTCTAGGAGTAGTTTCACTGTCTCACTTCTTTCACTCTCTACTGCCAGGTGTAGAGGAGTAGCACCATATTTATCTTGTGTAGATACATCAGCCCCCTTGTCTAGAAGTAGTTTCATTGTCTCACTACTTCCACTCCATGCTGCCAGGTGTAGAGGAGTCTTCCCATATTCATCTTGTGTAGATACATCAGCCCCCTTGTCTAGGAGTAGTTGCACTGTCTCACTATTTCCACTCTCTGCTGCCAGGTGGAGAGGTGTAGCACCATATTTGTCTTGTTTAGATGCATCAGCCTTCTTGTCTAGGAGTAGTTTCACTCTCTCACTACTTCCTCTTGGTGCTGCCAGGTGTAGAGGGGTCTTACCATCTTTATCTTGTGTAGATACATCAGCCCCCTTGTCTAGGAGTAGTTTCACTGTCTCACTACTTCCTCTTGGTGCTGCCCAGTGTAGAGGAGTCTTACCATCTTGATCTTGTGTAGATACATCAGCCCCCTTGTCTAGAAGTAGTTTCACTGTCTCACTACTTCCACTCTTTATTGCAAGCTGTAGAGGAGTCTTACCATCGTGATCTTGTGTAGATACATCAGCTCCCTTGTCTAGGAGTAGTTTCACTGTCTCACTACTTCCACTCTTTATTGCAAGCTGTAGAGGAGTCTTACCATCGTGATCTTGTGTAGATACATCAGCTCCCTTGTCTAGGAGTAGTTTCACTGTCTCACTACTTCCTCTTGGTGCTGCCCAGTGTAGAGGAGTCTTACCATCTTGATCTTGTGTAGATACATCAGCCCCCTTGTCTAGGAGTAGTTTCACTGTCTCACTACTTCCACTCTTTATTGCAAGCTGTAGAGGAGTCTTACCATCGTGATCTTGTGTAGATACATCAGCTCCCTTGTCTAGGAGTAGTTTCACTGTCTCACTACTTCCTCTTGGTGCTGCCCAGTGTAGAGGAGTCTTACCATCTTGATCTTGTGTAGATACATCAGCCCCCTTGTCTCGGAGTAGTTTCACTGTCTCGCTACTTCCACTCTTTATTGCCAGGTGGAGAGGAGTCTTACCATCTTTATCCTGTGTAGATACATCAGCCCCCTTGTCTAGGAGTAGTTTCACTGTCTCACTACTTCCACTCTTTATTGCCAGGTGTAGAGGAGTGTTACCATCTTTATCCTGTGTAGATACATCAGCCCCCTTGTCTAGGAGTAGTTTCACTGTCTCGCTACTTCCACTCTTTATTGCCAGGTGGAGAGGAGTCTTACCATCTTTATCCTGTGTAAATACATCAGCCCCCTTGTCTAGAAGTAGTTTCACTGTCTCACTACTTCCACTCCTTGCTGCCAGGTGTAGTGGAGTCTTACCATCTTTATCCTGTGTAAATACATCAGCCCCCTTGTCTAGAAGTAGTTTCACTGTCTCACTACTTCCACTCCATGCTGCCAGGTGTAGAGGAAAAGCACCATATTTATCGTGTGTAGATACATCAGCCCCCTTGTCTAGGAGTAGTTTCACTGTCTCGCTACTTCCACTCCTTGCTGCCAGGTGCAGAGGAGTGTTACCATCTTTAGCTTGTGTAGATACATCAACCCCCTTGTCTAGGAGTAGTTTCACTGTCTCACTGCTTCCACGCTCTGCTGCCAGGTGTAGAGGAGTGTTACCATCTTTAGCTTGTGTAGATACATCAGCTCCCTTGTCTAGGAGTAGTTTCACTGTCTCACTACTTCCACTCCATGCTGCCAGGTGTAGAGGAGTCTCACCATCTTTATCTTGTGTAGATACATCAGCCCCCTTGTCTAGGAGTAGTTTCACTGTCTCACTACTTCCACTCCTTGTTGCCAGGTGTAGAGGAGTGTTACCATCTTTATCTTGTGTAGATACATCAGCCCCCTTGTCTACGAGTAGTTTCACTGTCTCACTACTTGCACTCCTTGCTGCCAGGTGTAGAGGAATCTGAACAGCTTTATCTTGTGTAGATACATCAGCCCCCTTGTCTAGGAGTAGTTGCACTGTCCCACTACTTCCACTCCTTGCTGCCAGGTGTAGAGGAGTGTTACCATCTTTATCTTGTGTAGATACATCAGCTCCCTTGTCTAGGAGTAGTTTCACTGTCTCACTACTTCCACTCCATGCTGCCAGGTGTAGAGGAGTCTCACCATCTTTATCTTGTGTAGATACATCAGTCCCCTTGTCTAGGAGTAGTTGCACTGTCTCACTACTTCCACTCCTTGCTGCCAGGTGTAGAGGAGTGTTACCATCTTGATTTTGTGTAGATACATCAACCCCCTTGTCTAGGAGTAGTTTCACTGTCTCACTACTTCCACTCCATGCTGCCAGGTGTAGAGGAGTGTTACCATCTTGATTTTGTGTAGATACATCAACCCCCTTGTCTAGGAGTAGTTTCACTGTCTCACTACTTCCTCTTGGTGCTGCCAGGTGCAGAGGAGTGGTACCATCTTGATCTTGTGTAAATACATCAGCTCCCTTGTCTAGGAGTAGTTGCACTGTCTCACTACTTCCACTCTGTGCTGCCAGGTGTAGAGGAGTGTTACCATCTTTAGCTTGTGTAGATACATCAGCCCCCTTGTCTAGGAGTAGTTTCACCGTCTCACTACTTCCACTATCTGCTGCAAGGTGTAGAGGAGTAACACCATCTATATCCTGTGTAGATACATCAGCCCCCTTGTCTAGGAGTAGTTGCACTGTCTCACTACTTCCACTCTGTGCTGCCAGGTGTAGAGGAGTGTTACCATCTTTAGCTTGTGTAGATACATCAGCCCCCTTGTCTAGGAGTAGTTGCACTGTCTCACTACTTCCACTCCTTGCTGCCAGGTGTAGAGGAGTCTTACCATCTTTATCTTGTGTAGATACATCAGCCCCCTTGTCTAGGAGTAGTTTCACTGTCTCACTGCTTCCACTCTCTGCTGCCAGGTGTAGAGGAGTGTTACCATCTTTAGCTTGTGTAGATACATCAGCCCCCTTGTCTAGGAGTAGTTTCACTGTCTCACTACTTCCACTCCTTGCTGCCGGGTGTAGAGGAGTGTTACCATCTTTAGCTTGTGTAGATACATCAGCCCCCTTGTCTAGGAGTAGTTTCACTGTCTCACTACTTCCACTCTCTGCTGCCAGTTGTAGAGGAGTGTTACCATATTCATCTTGTGTAGATACATCAGCCCCCTTGTCTAGGAGTAGTTGCACTGTGTCGCTACTTCCACTCTCTAGTGCCAGGTGTAGAGGAGTCTTACCATCTTTATCTTGTGTAGATACATCAGCCCCCTTGTCTAGGAGTAGTTTCACTGTCTCGCTACTTCCACCCATTGCTGCCAGGTGTAAGGGACTACATCCTAATTTATTCACCCATTGTGTGCAAGTTGGATCTAATGGAAGATGTGGGACATTTTGTTCATCTAAGAACATTTTTGTGTAGTGAATGTTTTCTGTCTGAACTGCCAGATGTAGGAGTGTATTACCATCTTCATCTCTGATACCTTGAAGAGGGCGGTTGGCAGGTATGAAAGCAATCAACATGTGTAATATTTCACACATGGTGGTGGGATCTTGACAAGTGTTTGGTAAACTGCTTGACCACTTCCTTCCTGAAAACTTTAATATGTCCTGACACAATGACACAATATTCTTATCTCCTTTTATATGGTGTAGTATATATTCCACTAAGTACTTATTTCCAACTAACACAGTGAGAAGGAGTACATCGTGCGGCTGAGGTATCTCTGTTATATTCTGTGTCAGACGTTCCTGGATATCTCGATCAATTGCCGGTGAAACACACAGTGCTAGGAAGCAATCAGATGGAAGTGTCTTACACTTATCTAGCAGCTTTCGCACTAGCTGGTTATCCTGGATATACAAAGCAGGTGCCAGCAGTTCGCTTGCATCAACAAGGTTGAACACATCAGACAGTATGTCATTCAGGATTAATGTCAACTTCTGTAAAATGACATCAGAGATAAGGGAAGTATATTGCAAAAGGGTAAGTGACTTAATATAACAAAATCCATATCTTCCAAAAAAGGGAAGGGAAACAGTGACATCTTTCGTATCATGTTTTTTCTGTATAACTTCATTTGACGTGTTTTCTTTCCAACATTTTTTAGTCAGAACCTTCACAAATTCCTCATGACGTAAAGAAGGATGATCAAGTATGACACTGTAACTTTCTGACAGAAGATGATACGTGATGCGGTCAGCTAACACATGGAAACTTTCTGGGGGTAGGATAACTACTGCCTCATTCTTGTTCTTTGGCTGTGTGTCTATCAATTCCACCAGCATCTTTGGTGGACAGTTTCTTATTGCAATTTTAGGTTGCGAATTTGAAATATTGATAAATACAAAGTCATATATAGACTGATGTTGGAACTGGTAATCCTTTCCTGTTTGAATTAAGTACACTCCAAGGAAAGCCTTTATCTTTGACTCAATGCGTGCAGGTGTAATTTTGAGAGGCGCTACACAACATTCTTTAAGGTCTTCAGCCAAGGGCTTCAGTTCTGTTTTATATGTATTGCGTTTCAGAAGATCTGAGCTGAGGCGGCCATCTTTCATCAAAATTAGAAGGAGCACAAGGTAACCCATGCCATCATTTTCATGCATTCTTTTAATTTCCCCCAGGACGAATTCCCGGGGCTTTTCAAAGAACTCCACACCCTTTGCTTGTGCTTCCTTGCTTCTGGCAAAGAACGTACAACACTGGGGAAACCCCAGGACAGCCGGCAGTCCAACAATTTCAACACGTTCATTATATGAAGAGAATTTATCTCCACATATCTTTTCTACCATTTGAAGTTTTTCTTCCCGCGTGAGATCATATTTTCCTTCACCTAGAACCATGCACTGAATAGTTTTCATGAGCTGGGTCTTCCCTATTTTTTCTTTACACTGTGAGCATATTTCAGGTCTGGAGGTAATGACAAGCCATATATGACCTGATTCGACGTTTGAACAAATTTGGTCAAACAACTTTACCCACTCATCCACCTGTGATGCAACTAGATTACTTGATCCAAATATATCATCGATTAACACCACATACCTAGTCTGTTCAACACTTTTGTTCCCTTCGAGGTTCTTGTGATTTCCTTTAGTAATCATATTCCATTCATCCCTTGATGAAAGCACGATTGGCAACCGGCTCGTTTCTCTTGATATTCTTGCTAAAATCTTTCGACCGAGTGTTGATTTCCCTGAGCCTGACTTTCCTTTTATGAAGACCGATCCATGCTGTTTTAGTTCATTGTATGCAGACCTTTCAGCACGTGTAGATACATGTTTGTTTGAATCGGCCTGCTTGATAAGGTTCCTTGCATCACCTGCAAGTCAGTGTCAGTATTGAAGTAGTTCGTGTCTAATATTGAGAATGAAAGTATTGAAACATACATGTAACAACTCTCACATTTCTCCCCAGTTTCTAAATCTGCAACGATGAATATGATATTGAATACCGGTCTAGTACAACAAAGTTGAAAGACATAAAATTTCTAACTCAGCAAGAAAAACTTCCAAGCCTATCTCTGTGTAATATCATATATTTGAAAAGCAATAAAGTACCTTATTTGATAATGGCGAGAAACAAATATAAAGTATGTTTTTTTGTAATATATTTTTATCTATCTGAGAAAGGGGGTACATTGCATGCAAAGCATGTCACTTCCCTCAGTTTTGAAAAAGTATTGTTTGCTTTAAGAATTGACTTTCACAAGCTTCGACGTTCAGTTTGGCCCTCACTCTATGAAGGTTCAATTCTTATAATTATTCATATCACTATTTATTACCCCAAAGGGGGTAGACCTAGATCTACACACACTTATATGTAGTAGGTGTGAGTTCATGTATACACTGACAGCCATACAACAACCTGCTGTAACGCAGAATAAACAGTTCCTTAAGACAACAGGTGAAATGAGCGTTTGTATGCCTAACATGCTCTACTTTTGAAGTTTCTTCACAACAAATGTATTCAAATAATATTCTCATTAGATGAGATAGGTATGTTAAGAGCTACGTCACAATGACAGCTCCTCGTATTATATTTACATCAAGTACAAGACGTCAAAATGGCCAACACGATATTTTCGAAGTTATAAATAAACCTTTGGCTATTTCAAGTGTTAGGTATCACTGATCAATTGGGCGGATCATTCAAAGGTATCGAATAGATACAAAAGTTAATTCATAGATCGTTGAAGACTGTCACTGTTGTAAAGACATGGATCAAGTAGATACAACAATAGTTGGGATGTGCTTTTCTTCGTTTTGTTCTCAAGAATGGGTTGTAGCAAGGATATCCTTGAACGGGCATGCAATCAAACTCTCTTACGTATTCTTCCAATATATGCTAAAATGTAATAGAGGTAGACTTTCGTAAGAATCATGCTTAGTTCAATATAAAAGGGTCCAAATGATGAGAACAACGCTTCTGTATTTATTCGTGCAATGGAATTCGATGGGGTTTTCCACGGGAATGTGGAGTGTTGACGTCATTTCAAGAATGCAGTCTCGTGAAAAACGTGAACGTCAAAATGTGTCGTTCATGGACTTATGAACTTCAGTTTCGGGGTCATGTGACCGACCTCTCGTCCAATTGAAAAGCCGCACATCGTGTAAATTTCACATAAAAAAACATACATGTATAAGCTTTTTTTCTTAAGCTTTTGCAAGATGTAATACACTGATCCACTGAAAGTTTTCTCCAATTATATCTGGTGAACTTGACTTTTCACCTTCAAGTGATTGCTAATTGTCTCGTGATTCTTATTGTTTCCATTCTCTTGGTTGAATGCTTTCAGTAAAGATGTTGTTTAGTATATTTGAAAACCTAGGGTTTTTGTCAAAATAGCAAATTATATTATTTTTGGACTTTTTAACATACCAGCATTATGATGATGCAATAATTACTGCCGAGTTTCACAATATTTTGTGCAATCACTATTTGTTTTTGGTATCGTCCATGCACCGAAGATTACATCCCAAATATTCAAACAAACTACTTATTTTGATCATTATTTAATGCAAAGTCACACTGATTTGAACACAATGTTATGTCAAATGTTAAATACATCTTGAAAAAGTCTGTTCAACTTAAGGCCATTTTATCCTTGAGAACGCATGCAGCTTAGATTATTGGTTGGAACGAGCATGTGAACTTGAATTTCGTTGGTCCATTGGTTTCTGAGACAACCAATGCCAGACAAGCAGTGCAAGATAAAGTCACTTGATATTCAGTCAGGTGCTCGTAAAAGTGAAGAAATCACAAGCTTAAGCAAATTTCACATCGACATAAGCAGTTTTACTTGGTTGGGAGGGAAGTATGTTCAGAGAGACATCGGTACGGTGTTGGTGACTGGATATAGTGAATCAAGATTTGACACCCTTTGAAGTTTCTGATCTGGTTATGCTCGAGGCATCACATCCTTACCGAGTGTGGGTAATTTGTCCATTTAAACTTAAGAAGCAGTCTATTTCATGCGCCTCTGTATCAATCAATATGTTACCAGCAGGCGTCCATGATTCAGGATTAGCTAATTCATTCCTGAAATTGTACCTGTATATCTTCTAATCAACTGAAATACCTTGAGTTTGATATTGCTTTCACAGATGAAATATTTCAGTACTTACTGACTAAATTGTCCAGTTTGGGATTACTGAAGTAGTCTGAAACAAAAAAAAGTTGTACAATTATATTCTAATAATTAAACAGATATGATCTACAGATTTGACATCCATTTCATGTAACTTTTACTGGTTCATTCAACATAACCAGTTTCAAATGGATAAAATCAGTCTCTGTGTCATACTTTTAAAAAGATCCTCATCAACTGTCATCTAGAACAGACAAGCAACATACTACAAAAAGCAATGAGCTAATATTGGAATTTACTCAATTAAAAATATATGCAAAGAAAAAGGATTGATGTCATTTGAAGAACTGAAACTAAAATATCCGATAAAAGGTACAATATTAGATTATAGTTATGTAATCTTCAATATGTCAGAATCATGGAAAAAAACAATCCAGAAAACTTAAAAAATTCTTTTGACAGAATTTGTATATAAACAGTTGCTAAAGTGATCTGATGAAGCATGTTAGAGGCGCTAGAAACGTTTATGATAAATTAATATCAAATGAAAATATTCTTAAAGTTTGTGATAAATGGCAATAAATTTTTCACTGAGATTTTAATTATAAAACGATATTTACTGTTTATCGATGTAAACTGAAGGTTATAAAACTTTTAGATTAGATTCAGTACAGATTTCAAAATGGAATTATCTACACAACAGTGTTTGTAGCTTTTGTAATGCTGTCAATGAGGACATCAGCCATGTCTTTTTGGGAATGTAATGAAACTAAACAATTTTGGAATGATCTTGAACTTTACCTTAATAATTATCTTTCACAATAAAATAAATTGACAAAATATCTTATTTGGTTTGGTTCTAACTACTCTAAAACTTTAATCAATCAAATAGTTTTATTGGGAAGGCATATTCATGTAAGTGGAATTAAAGGAACCCAACCGAAATAAGATAAACTTTTAAAACTATTTATATATATAATATATATTCAATCGAGAAATTTATTGCTATAAAAAGGATGACAAAAATAACTTTAACAAAAAAGGTCACCTTTATTCTCAGCATTTGATTCTTAGATCTCTGTTGATACATGCCATGTTTGAGTCTGATTGTGTGTTGCAACAGTTTTGGGTTTGAAATAGGACAATGTTTGTTTCCAACCCTTTAATTTTTTAATGAGTGTATTGTGCCATTCTATGCTATTCGGAATATGTTTTTGACGGAATACTGTATTAATCTCCAACTCTCGGAACATTATAAAAAAAATGTGTCATCTAGAAGCACATGTATACAATATAATGTTACTGTTTATGAAAACATATGCCAAATTTAAAGTTTCATCCAGGTTGATTGGTGTTCTTTAAATAAGTATGCTGGAATTATTATGGGAGATAAACCTACTGTGTTTTGTGATAGTCTTAACTGTAGATGAAATAAATTTTATACAGTGATTCCTCGATATACCGCTGTCATCGGAGTCCACGATCCCGACCCTGCGTTCTAGGAAAGAGTGTTGTACAGATATTCATTGCTGTTGTTGACATTACGTAATGATGGTAGTGGTGCAATTATTTCACAGTAGCATGGGATATGTAGATTCTATATCTACTGAACACTGATTGTGGACGATAATTCAAAATGCATACATAAAAAAATGAAAATACTTTTTAGTGTTAATTAATCACAGTACAGTGTATAATTTTACGACTGGATGTTATACATGTAGAATATAAATAAGGACACAAACTTTTGTTTTAATCTAGTTTCTCAGAAGAAACGTGGTCTGATCGCCGACCTACTCACATAATCGATTGATGTCAGTGCATTACAAAGCTGATCAAGGCTTTTAACCAAACTAATGTGAGACCAAGGCTGTGATTGGTTAATATATATATGATGAAAGTGTCAAAGTTATGAAAAACCCGGACACAGCCCGCTCTCTGTATGCACCTTATGTACACGCACATTACGTGTGTAACTATGTGGTCATTTGAGCAATTTATAAAAATCAAACAAACACAAACTTAGATTTGAGAGTTATTGTTTGTTCTATTATCAGTAATATTATGTACAGAAAAACATGTTACGTTGAAACACTTGAAAATGGCAGCAGGGACCATTTAATATATCTATTATATGGTCTCTGGTGGCAGTAACGGCCAAGCAACTGGTACGTGTACATGTAGTAATGAACTCATTTTATTTTACTGAAAAAGTCATGACGATGACCCACGTCCAGGAAGGCCTTCAAAAGCAACCATTCCGGAAAACATTACCCGGGTGCATGACATGGTGATGGCTGATCGACGAGTGACCACTCGACATATTGCCAGTATTGTGGGCATCTCTCATGACGGGGTTGAGCACATTATCACCAACGAGTTTGGAATGACAAAAGTTTCTGCAAGATGGGTGCCAAAGCTCTTGACAGCGTATCAGAAACGTGTCAGATTCCTGACGTCCCGTGTCAATTTATGCCGTTTTGAAACAGATGCCGATGATTTTTTGGCCCGATTTGTAACCTTGGATGAGACCTGGATTCGTCACTTTCAACCTGAAAGCAAAATTCAGTCTAAACAATGGAAGCATCCGGAATCACCAACCCCCCCCAAAAAAAGCCAAGTCGGTTCCTTCTGCTGGAAAGGAAATGGCTTCAGTCTTTTGGGATTCCAAGGGTTTTCTGCTGATTGACTATCTTGAAAATGGCCAGACTATCAATGGAAGATATTATGCTGACCTACTGAGACAGTTGCGTGAAGCTATCAAAACTAAGCTATGGGGAATGCTCACTAAAGGAGTCATGTCAAACAAAGACAATGTTCCTGTTCACAAATCGGTGGTTGCCATGTCAGCGATCCATGATTGAGGCTTCGAACTCATTGACCATCCCCCTTATTCATTCGATTTGGCCACGTCAGAGTTCCACGTGTTTCCCCAAATGAAAACGGAACTAGCCGGTCGCCATTTTCCTGGTAATGATGACGTCATTTCCGTTCTGAATGACTTTTTTAGGGTGGCTGAAGAAAATTTCTTCTTGACCGTCATCCAGGCCTTGCAGCATCGCTGGCAAAAGTGTGTAAACCTGGAAGGGTACTATGTGGAGAAATAAATGATACCAATCGACTTGGAATGGGTCTTACAGGTCACAGTTAGGCTTAGAACTTTTCAGCCAGCCCTCGTAGTTACCCATGGGTAAATAGGTCTCCTACCTTAGAATATTCCAGAAAGGTGTCATAAATATTACTCAAATTCAAGATTAATTACATAGTTGATGGTATGTCATCTTATCCGAATTGATGCTCATGGTGGTAATCGATGGATTGTCTGGCCTGGACCCTCGTCATATAGCTGGAATATTGCAGCCTTAAACAACACACACACACAAACACTTGTATTCTTGATTGGTTCCAAATAATGTTTACAAAATATATATAATTCTTGGGAGGGTATCATTACCTACCTCTATAATAGAGCAGCGGCCAACCCTCCAAAAGAGGCTTATTTAAGGAATAACCCCTCCCCACAGTAGAACAAAGCACAACCACATTTTTCTTTATAAGATGTCATTTATGCATCAGGAAAAGCTGGTTGTGATGATTTCCTTGGGTTGTAGCCATGTTTTTGGTGGTAAAATGCACATTTGTGTGTAAAATAACAGGCTCTTAACAAGGCAGTTTGCATATTGCGATGCTCATTTTACAAACAGAAATCAGGAAACCTGCAATAGAACCAATAAATAATTAGCAAAATTGTTTAAATCGAGTAATGGCCCAAAATGTATCAAAAACAGGATAAAAAAACTCAATTTTCAAATTATTACAAAAATTTAGATAACGTAACATCCATATTGATAATCATGTCGTTTGATATCTCAAAATCAGCCTGAATGCTTTCGAAGCTTATACAAAAATCTACAAGTAATGTAGGTATAATAATGAATGAAAATTTAGCAAATGTTATCCGACCCCTCATCCTGTCAAAAAATAAATAAATATATAACTGCATATTTAAAACATTACTATGATAACACTTACATTCTTGTGCACCAAATTGTTTTATTTGAACACATAGATCGTATCTAACCTACACACAAAGAAAAAAGTTAATCACACCCGAATATATGTCATTATTGTTTGGTCACAATATTTGTAACAGTTATGAAAGATATAATTACGGGAAGAATTATGTTTTCTCGAGATGATGTAATCAGTCATGTGTGTCGAAAGCTCACGTGCCATGCATGGTATGCCCGTGCAGCATGCTACCCTCGAGTATCTCTAAAAGCAGTATATCCAAACGTTAAAATTGCTTTCTTAAGCTCGGTTTTAAACAGTTATTCCATTACATTGTGTGACCATGGCACGAAGGGGATTATCAAACGCCACATGATGGCAAATAATCATGCATAACGCAGGAATGTCTTGTAATGCCATTGGTGGGAATTTGAGGTATTATCACAATGTCGTAAGCTGTTAAGTCGAAAAAAAGGCTCAGACTGGTGATGTACAGGACCATCCCAGATCCGGAAGACTTCCTTTGACGACACATCGCAAAGACAGGGTCCTTCTTCGTCTCATAAGCCGAGAACCCTTTTTAACAAGTACCCATCCGAAACGGCTGTGGTTGCCCAATCGTCGTTTCAGCACCAGAACCGTCAGGAACCGGCTGAAAGCAGGACTGAGGGCTAGACGAGTCATAAAGCGTCCCTTATTGAGAGATCACCACAAAGCTGCTCGTTTAGCATGGTGTATTGCGCGACAGAACTTGAATCTGCGAAATTGGCGACGGATCCATTGGTCAGACGAAAGTCGCTTTCTGTGAACCCCCTTGAACATGTTTTGGATATTCTTGGGTGGCGCATACAGGCACGAGATCCTCCTGTACAAGATTTCTGCTAATTGGAAGCAGCATTGCATCGGGAGTGGTTATTGTTGACCCATCAACAGATCCAACGTCTTAATGGAGGCATGAGACGTAGGGTGGAATGTGTCATCGAGGCACGTGGCGGTTATACCCGCTACTGATCTGTTTCACGTGTCATGTCAAGTAGAGACTTTAAGGAACATTTCACATGA